CCCCCGGCCGGGGGGAGGGGGGACGCCCCCTCCCGGGCACACCCCCGGCTCGGAGCCGCCCGCGGGGCCGCCTGGGCCCGGAGCGGAGGAAGGAGCCACGGAGGAGCAGCCCCGAGGCCCTAGAGTCTGAGACGAGCCGCCTCTGCCGCCGCCCCCGCCGCCGCCGCCGCCACTGCGGGGAGGAGGGGGAGGAGGAGCGGGAGGAGGGACGAGCTGGTTGGGAGAAGAGGAAAAAAAAGTTTTGAGACTTTTCCGCTGCCGCTGGGAGCCGGAGGCGAGGGGACCGCTTGGCGCGGCGCTGCCCCCGGAGGAGGCAGGACTTGGGGACTCTGGACCCTTCCCCCGCCTGGGACGCTTGCTCGCTCTCTGACCCCCCCGCGGCGTTCCCTCAGGCGCCCCATTCCGGACCAGCCCTTCGAAACCGCAAACCCAGACTCCCGCGAAGACTTTATTTCCCCGAGACCTCGGGCGCACCCCCCTGCACGCTGCCTTCTATCCCCAGCCTCTCTCCTAAGCCCCCGGGCACCCGCGAACTCTTCTCTCCGCGGAGACGGAATCTCTCTCAGAACTGCCTCAGCTTCCCAATTCAAGGCCACCCACCCTCTGGTTTTCACATCTTGCCCATCTCGGTTTTTCCCGCAGGATACTGAGACACCCCCTTGTCAGAGCCTCCCACCCTTGCTCCCTTCTCCCTGAGGGCCTCAATTTCCCCCCAGACCCTCCTACCTTCCCCTGGGAGACCCCCAGCCCCTCTAGGGGCGGGGCCTCCCCCAATCCCATCCCTGCTCGCGCGCTCGGCAGTGCCAGGGGGCGCCGCCTCCCCCATGCCGCCCTCCGGGCTGCGGCTGCTGCCGCTACTGCTGCCACTGCTACGGCTGTTAGTGCTGACGCCAGGCCGGCCGGCCGCGGGGCTGTCCACCTGCAAGACCATCGACATGGAGCTAGTGAAGAGGAAGCGCATCGAGGCCATCCGCGGCCAGATCCTCTCCAAGCTGCGGCTCGCCAGCCCCCCGAGCCAGGGGGAGGTGCCGCCCGGCCCGCTGCCCGAGGCCGTGCTTGCTCTCTACAATAGCACCCGCGACCGAGTGGCGGGGGAGAGCCCGGAGCCCGAGCCCGAGCCCGAGGCGGACTACTACGCCAAGGAAGTCACCCGCGTGGAAATGCTGAAACCCTCAGAAAGTGAGCTTGGAAGGGCAGGGGAGCGGGGAGGGGAGCCCCCAGGGGGCGCCGGAGTGCAGGGGCCGCGGGGAGGAAATGACTGGCAAAGAAACGGGCAGAAGGAGCCCCCTAGGGCGCCCGGCTCAAAGGAGACCCTCGCAAGTACCGAGTCTTGAGGAGAAGATGTGTACAGATTTTGATTCAGTGTACTGGGGTGGAAATGCAAACTCTCAGGTGCGGGCTTCTAAACGGAAGGAACCAGTTGGAAATCCTGGGAGATAGTGAGCCAAGTGAGACGCTTCCAGGGGGCAACAGGAGCATGCGGGACCGTGGGAATCGCTTGTGAGGAGAGAAGCAAGTGGAAGGCGGAGGGGAGACGAGACTAGAATGCAGGGTTGTGCAGTGGGGGATGCAGAGAGGAGAGGTCGGTTTGGGAGAAGGCGAAGACCTCAGCTTTTGGGAAAAGAGACGCATGGGGAAAGCTGACCCGGACCTCGGCGTCGTGAGGCGGGAAGCTTCAGGAAAGCTGGGAAAGTGGGCGAACGGACCACTTCCAGAGGGGCGAGGCACACCTGGGGTTGGGGTTGGGGGAGGCGTCACCTCAAGAGAAACCGGGGAAGTGTGATAAATGCCAGGAGGAAGGGACGCGGGGTCGTGAGGAGGACGAGGATCGCGGTAGAGAAGCGGATACCCTGGGGGTGTGTGTGACGGGGATGCGCGGGAAGGTGGAAGGTGTGGTGGTTTCGCATTAGGAGATGAGAGATAGAGGGTGGAGCCCAGCGGAGGAAGCGACCACCCGAGAAACCTGGACTGCAGGGCCGTGGGAAGGGGTTTGCAGAGACGGGAGACAATGTGGGAAAAGTGGACGGGGAGCGGGGGGAGGGGAGGTGCAACGACGAGCCCCCTCACATGCCGCGGGGTGGAAGGGAGTCGGCTAAGTGAGGAGTCGAGCCTTCGGAAAGGAGACGTAGGAGTGGTGGGGTAACTCTGCAAGCAGGGAGTGAGAAGATGGAGCTGGTGGAGTGAGAAGGGCCCACGTGGGCGCCACGCGCGGGGGGAGGAGCCGCGCTTCCGCAAGGGGGCAGGAGCACCCCGCAGAGTTGAAAGCTGGGAGTCAGGACCCCGAAGTCTCAGTTCCTTTTGGGGAGGCTGGGGAAACCCCAGCGTCCGGTCGCCTCGCCAGCCCTCCCTTCCCTTCCCTTCCTGTGCCCCGGGGCTGGGGGGGCGGGGATCGCGCGCGGAGCCTAGGGGCGAGACGAGACAGGTCCGGTCCCCGCCCTCGCCGCTGCGTCGCCTCCCGCCCGCCCTGCTCACCCCAGTTGGGGGTGGAGCGATCGCTGGGCCCGCCGGCTCGGCGCCCACGCGGGGACCCTGATGTCCCGCGTGGCCCAGACCCTTGGGGGCGGCTCCCCGGGTTTCACCTGGGCTTGCGGGTCCCGGGCTCCTAGTGCGGGCTTAGCCACATAACGCACCTCCCGGGTCATTCTCTCTTCCGTCGGTCACCTTGGTTGTGGAGGTTCCATGGTTACCACTGCCCTGCTTTCTCCCTACATTGTCTCTCTCCCTCCACGCACTGGGCCTCGTCCCATCCCGGTCCACCGCTTCCTGTCTGCGCCCCTCTCTCTGTCATTTAGAATCTCCCTCATCTGGTTACCGTCCTGTTCTCTGGGCATGTGGGTCTCCAAGTTAACGTCTCTCCGTATCTCTGTCTCTTCCCCTCCCCATGTCCTGCGGTTTCCCCATCCCTTACCCGGTTTCCCCATCCCTTACCCGGTGGGTGCATCTCCCAGTCCCTGCCTGTCCCTTCTTCCCTATCTGTCTTGCCCAGCCTAGGTTCTTCCCTTCCCTGGGCATACACTGAGTAACCACTGGGCCAGGAATAGGGTTTGTGTTTTATTTTGGAGGGGACAAGGACTGATAAGACTAGGGTGGTGAGGAATAGGGGGAGGTGACCACAGGAAAGGGTTTCCTCTTTCCATCATCCCTCACCCCCATTATAGGAGGCCCGAAATAGTGGCTTCCAGGTTGATCCAGGGTTTTATAATCTGCCCTCTGACTCCCACCCCAGAACTCTTCCTACATTAGAAAATGGTCTCGCCCATTCCTTTCTCCCCCTGTAGCCCTTCTTAACTGGATACGTGTCTTGAACTTCACCTTCTCTGTCCGGCTGAGGAGAAAGTTAAGGGAGGAAGCAATTAATAATAATAATAATAGTCATTAGTGGGGAGACAACATAGCTTAGGGGTTAAGAGGTTGAATCCCCACCCTGCAGCTTCCCAGCTCTGTGACCTTGGGGCACATTGCTTAATTTTTTTGAGCCTCGATTTCCGTCTGTGAAATAGATAGGATGGTCTTTTCTCATAGGGTTGTTGTGAGGTTTAACCGTTTTACTCTTTGTGATGTCCTTTGTGTAGCGAGCCCTCTTTAACGCACACGTTATCCAGCGACTGCTCCATCAGACTGCTACATGCCTTACCTGCAGCTTATTTTGCACTGGGATCCTGGAAATGGGTCCTCATTTGACAGATAAGGATCTGGAGATCAGAGAGAGGCATCCTCTTGTCCGAGGTCACACAGCATGAATCAGAAGACAAGGGAGCCTGATGTTCCTGCTGTTGCTCAAAGACTAACAGGAAACGAAGCTCAGAGAGGGGCTGTGGCCTATCCACAGCCACACAGCTGGAAGGCAGCAGAGGCATTATCTGATCAGAGTGGAACTGTGCTCCATTGGGTTTTTGGCGGCTGATTTTTCTGAAGTTGATCTTCAGGCCTTTCTGTGGTTAACTTGCATGTAAGGCTCTGAGCACTGCGGAGGCCTAAGGAAGCAGATCAGTCCCCCTTGGTGCCAGCCTTTGACTGGGTGGGCCTTTACAGATGGTGTTGCATGGGAGAGGAGGGTAGTTAGGATCCATTGGACAAAGGAGGACACAGACAGAGAGGAGAAGGCAGTCCTAGTGCCACACTGCCCAAAGATCACACTTAAAAAGTGTCAGCGCTGGGTTCGAACCCAGGGCTGCCTCCTCTGGAGCCCACCTCTTAGACCCGGGGTATACCAGCTCCCCTGTCCATACCAAACCCCTGACATCCTTCTCCCTGCTCCTCCCGTCTAGACGCCTATGAGAAATTCAGGCACAGCTCACACAGCATCTATATGCTGTTCAACACGTCGGAGCTTCGAGAAGCAGTGCCCGAACCCGTGTTGCTTTCCAGGGCAGAACTGCGCCTGCTGAGGCTCAAATTAAAAGTGGAACAGCACGTAGAGCTGTACCAGGTGGGAGCACGGGCCAGACAGGTGGGCGGGGCTGGCGGCCAGGTGGGGCCACAGGCAGGCTGGTGACCACTGGGTCTGTGTCTGTGGTCTCTGCAGTCTTCTAATTGTGCAGGACAGAAGAGGTCAGACCTTAGTCTCATAGGGCTCTTTGAACTTTGAGACTCTTAGCGCTCCAGAATGTTAAGTGCTCAGACATCCCAATCTTAGAAGTTACTCTTTCAGAATGCAGGACTCTTGGAAGTTAAAGTCTATTTATTATTCATAGGTGGATGTCTGTAGAACTGCTCTGTCCAATATGGTAGCCGTTGGCCACATGTTGTTGTTGTTATTAGGTGCCCTTGAGTTGGCTCCGGCTCATAGCGACCCTGTGTACAACAGAACGAAACACTGCTTGGTCCCGCATCAGCCTCACAATCCTTGCTGTATTTTCCAGTAATATATCAGACAGTGTTTCACTGCTATTTGTAAGGTTTTCATTGGGAAATTCTTTGAAAAGTAGATGGCTCCATCCTTCTGCCCAGTCTGTCTTAGTCTAGAAGCTCCCTGAAACCTGTCCACCATGAGTAACCCTGCTGGTATTTGAAACACTGGTTGCATAGCCTTTAGCCTCACAGCAGCATGCAGGCCACCACAGTACGACAAACTGACAGATGAGTGACCACATATGGCTATTTAAATTAATTTAAATGAAATCGAATTAAAAACTCCATTTCTCAGTCTCCTTGGCCACATGTCTAGGGCTCTGTGGTCACACATGGTTAGTGGCTGTTACTTTGGACATCTTAAATAAAGAATGTTGCCATTGTCACAGAAAATTCCATTGGACAGCAGTGCTGTGGATTTAAGCGTCTCCACAAGGATTGCTGGGGGGGCTGGAGATCTTGAAAGATTGGAATCTTAAAAAGTTTCTATGATGTAGAATCCATGCCGGTATTGAGCGTTAGACTTGCAGCAGGGAAAGTGTTGTTTTCTGATGGGAGAAACTTGTGTAACTTTAACTGGTTACAGGCTGGAGAATTCAGCTTTATAATCTTAGCCCCTGGAGTCGTTCACCCAAAGGAGCTCTGGTGGCATAGTGTCCCAGGCATTTGACTACTAACCAGAGGGTTGGTGGTTCAAACCCACCAGCTGCTCTGAGAAAGGAAGATGGGGCTATCTACTTCCATAAAAGATTGACCACCTTGGAAACCCGATGGGGGTCGCTAGGAATTGGAATTGACTCCACGGCAGTGGGTTTGGTTTTTTGGAGTCATTCAACACTATATATAGCCTTGGAGTCAGGAAACAGCTAGGTTTGTGGCATGTCAGGCTCTTGGGTTTGTAGAACCTTTGTCTCCTAGAACTTCTCAGGCTTAGTCACTGTGTTATTCTTGGAACAATATTGAACATGGGAGTTATGGCATGACTTCTAACACAAGCCTTTAGAAAGTTAGAGACTCAGAATTCGAGTGTCGATTTGCTGAACCGACCTCCTGCAGATTCCAGAATGCTCACAGTGGAATCGTGGCATCATGGTCTGCCCGAGCTGTTAGGTCGCAGCATTTTACCAATGAGGAAACTGAGGCCTTGAGGGGGAAGGTAAACGTCTGTGGCCCCCAGTGAGGCTGAGGCTGGCCTGCTGGAGTGCCTTGTCCCCTAGCCAGGGGCTCTGTCTGTACTTCACCTCTTAGAGGGCTGTGGGGGCCAGTGGTTCCTGCAGGCCCCACTGTGTGGCTGGCTGGTAGGCCACTTGGGGGAACAGAGGATATGGGGCCTCAGTCAGCGTATGTAGGGGGCATGGCAGCATCTACCCACTGTCTCTCTTCCCTGTTCATCATCTCCCAGAAATACAGCAACAATTCCTGGCGCTACCTCAGCAACCGGCTGCTGGCCCCCAGCGACTTGCCGGAGTGGCTGTCCTTCGATGTCACAGGAGTCGTGCGGCAGTGGCTGAGCCATGGAGGTGAGGTCTGCCCACCTGCCCGAGCCCTCTTGCCCAACTGGTCGACTGCACTGTTTGTCCTGGGGCCAACCTGCCTAGCACACCACCTCCCATGAGTATGTAGGTGTCAGAGAGCTGAGACATGGCCCTCCTCCTAGACACTCAAACCTGAGTGACTGACTGATTAATCCATTAATGGTTAATGATTTGTTTCCTGAGCACCTGCCCTGTGCTAATTGATGTTAGGGACACCGTGGTGACTGATACAGACCTGTTCTTGCCTAAAGGAGGAAGCAGATGTATAACCAGTTATTGATGACCTGGAGTGGACAGGGCTGGGACTGGGGAGCCTGGAGGAGATTCCTGGCCCAGCCTGGGGGTCAGGGAGGGCTGCCTGGAGGAGGGGGCATCTGAGCGAATCTCTGAAGGATGAGTAGAACAATTAGAAAACAAAGGAACAAGAATGTTCTGGGTAGAGGAAGCAGCTTGTGCAGGGGCTGTGAGTCCCGAGAAAGCCTGATACATTCAAACTGTCTAGAAGAGGACTGTGTCTGTCCTGTTCACGATGGCTCAGTCCACAGGGCCCACATCTCCTTTGCTTACCGACTTCTCATTCATGCGTTCATTCAATAAATGCCAACAAGTTCCCGTCTGGGACTGGCTCTGTGCCCGGTGGTGTGGGAGACACAGTGATAACCAGGACCACCCCAGTTCCTGCCTTCACAGGGCCAATAGTTAACTTCCAGACACCTAGGAAGTCTTGCCAGAATCTTTCCAGAACAGAAGTGATCAAGGCCAGCACTGGGGAGACGCAGAGCTTGGCGTTGGATTGGGGAGGCACAGGCAGAGGGGTCGGGCTGGGAGAAGTCTTCAGTGCTGTGGGAGCCCCGAGGAGGCCCCAGAACCCCTGGGGGTGGTCCCCATGGCTTCCCAGATGGGAGTGATGTGTTGAGACTTGGAGGGTAGGCAGTAGGTTGGCCAAATGCAAAGGTGGGGACTGGAGAGCAGGTGGGGGCTGGGAGGAGTGGCCTGGGCAGCTGGACAGAGGCCCGGAAGGACCTCGCCCGTGTTGGTCGGTGCTCAGCCCTGAGTGCCCAGCCCATGGTGCAGCACAAAGTGGGAGCTTAGGAACCACGGTTCACGTATTCATTCCGGAAACATCAGTCCCCCGCCGGACGCTGGGAAAGAGCTCAGGCTTGGATCTGTATCCCACCCTACCTTTTCCACTTGTGTGTCTCAGCAAGTCACTTCCTGTCTGTATGCCTCAGCTTCCTTGAGCTTTGGTGAGGATTAAAGGAGTGTCTAGAACAGGAGCTGGTGCCCAGTACACGCTCAGAAAATGTTCGCCTTATGATTATGGGCCAGACTCAGTGGGAACGAGACAACCAAGTCTCCATGCCTTGTGCCTCCTGCTTTCTGCTCATGAAACCAGGGAGTTAGACAGCGAGGTACAGATACCAGAAAGGAGATAATGACAGTGAATGAGAGGGGGCAGGGGCCTATGGCCCCTGGGCTCCCTGAGGAGGTGACATTTGAGCTGAGCTGAAGGAAGGGACAGCACTGGAGCAAAAGAGGGGCAGACAGCACAGCACGGCCAGTGAAGGGGCAGGAAGGGCCCTGTGGTTTGCCTCCTCCCTTCCTCTTCTCCAGGGCTTGGGTGAGCCGCCCTTTGACTGGCTCCCTGTGTCTGCTCTCACAGGGGAAGTAGAGGGCTTTCGCCTCAGCACCCACTGCTCCTGTGATGACAAAGACAACACCCTCCAAGTGGAAATCAAAGGTGAGGCCCCCTTCCCTGGGTGGCCCCTTCCTGCCGCTTCCCCTTGGCTTTGATCCATCTCACTGAGAGAGAGTGTTTTTGTGTGTGTGCGTGATGCTAACCCATCCCTCTGAGACACTGTATGTATATGTTGATCCCTGGCCCATCTCCCTATCCATCCTTTTGAATGTGTACGTCTCCCTGCATCCTCTTTCTCCACCCCCTCCCAATCCACCCCTCTGACAATGTGTCCTCCCCATCCCCCGTGGATCCACCCCTGAGTGTGTGGGACCCCTCCCCACCCCCCGTGGATCCACCCCTCTGAGTGTGTGGGTCCCCTCCCCACCCCCCATGGTTCCACCCCTCTGAGTGTGTGGGTCCCCTCCCACCCCCCATGGATCCACCCCTCTGAGTGTGTGGGGCCCCTCCCCACCCCCCATGGATCCACCCCTCTGAGTGTGTGGGGCCCCTCCCCACCCCACATGGATCCACCCCTCTGAGTGTGTGTTTCTACCCTCCCTCTCCACCTCCCATGCAACCACCCCGCTGAGTGTGTGGGTCCCCTCCCCATCACATGCATCCGTCCCTGAGTGTGTGTCTCTACCCCACCTCCCCACCAAAGCAGGGCTCAGTAGCAACCACCGCAGGGGTGACCTGGCTGCCATTCAGGGCATACACCGGCCCTTCCTGCTCCTCATGGCCACCCCGCTGGAGAGGGCCCAGCACCTGCAAAGCACCCGGCACCGCCGGGCCCTGGACACCAACTACTGCTTCAGGTGAGCCTTGCAGCCTTCGACAGAGCCCTTCCAGGCTGGGACCCAGCCAGTGTCTACTAACCAGTCACTCTGGGTTGGGCAACTGCTTGTGCTGTGTCCTGGCTGAACATCTCCTTCAGCCTGGGGGACTCGGGATGAGTCTGTCTCAGTCACCTAGTGCTGCTATAAAGAAGCACCACAGGTAGGAGGCTTTAGCAAACAAATTTATTCTGTCACAGCCTAGGAGGCTAGACACCTGAATTCAGGGTGCCAGCTGTAGGGGAAAGCTCTTGCTCTCTACTGGCTCTGGAGGAAGGTCCTTGCCTCTTGAGCTTCTACTTCCTGGTTCTCTGGAGATCTCTATGTGTTTTAGCATCTGTCTTATGCCATCTCTCCTCTGCTCGTTTAATCTCTTTTATATCTCATAAGACATTAACTCAAGACACACCCTACACTCATCCTGCCTCATTAACATAACAAAGGCAACTCATTCCCAAGTGGGATTATAACCACAAGCATAGAGGTGAGAATTTACAACATGCATTTCTGGGGATACAGTTCCATCCATAACTAGATGTGAGTCCTAGAATGCTGGAGTGTTGGAACTGAGAGTCTTAGAATGTTGGAAGCAGGTTACTTTCTTTGCAGAGTGTTGGAATCAGAGACTGAATTTCCAACCAAGAATGTTGGAATTCAAAGTTGGAAGGTGGCTATGTTGAATGCTGGTGTGGTCGGCAGGTTGGGGTTCTAAAATGTTTGGGTTCTAGAATGTTAGTCTTCAGTGTTAAGTCTGAAAATGTTGGACTCTAGGGAAGCTAGAATGTTGGGATCCTAGAATCTAGGAATTCAGAATCGGAAGGTTGCCTGTGTTGGTGTTCTACAGTGTCGGTGAATTGGATTCCCCAAATGTTGGCACGTTGGCGTCTGAATGTTGGGCTCAAAATGGTGGATCTGTGTGTTAAAATACTAGGATCAACACATGTTGGATGTGGAGAAAGGCAGAATATCGGTGTTCTGGAAATGTTGGGGCTCAGCGTTGGAATGATAGAATCTTGGAATGCCAGGATTTTAGGGAGTGGCAAGTTGGCCCCCTTGAGTGATGGGCTTAGCAACGTGGAAGAGTGGAATGCAGTCCTGAATGCTGGAATTCAGAAATGCTGAGATCTTCAAGAGCTGTAACGTGGGAATCCTAGAAAGTTGGGAGTCATTGTTGGAGTGTTGGAATCTTGGATGCTGACTATTGCAGTCTAAGGTTGAAATGCTGGATTCCTAGAAAGTTGAAATTCAGGGTTAGAATGTTGGAAATTGAGAATGATAATCTGACCTTGTCCTCCCCCTATGTAAAACGTTTGGAGTTACCTCTGGGCTTTGTAGAGATCCCTGAGTAGTGCAGATGGTTTGCACTTAACCTAAAGGCTGGTGGTTCGAGCCCATCCAGCAGCTCCATGGAATCCACTTTCATAAATATCACAGCCAAGAAAACCCTGTAGAGCAGTTCTCTGTACCAGAGGTTCCCCAGGAGTTTGAATCGATTCTGCAGCAATTGGGTTTTTGTTTTTTGTTTTCCCCCTGGGCTTTGTTCCTTGCTGCTCCCCCTGTCCGAAAGCTCCCCCTGACTTGAGGCTTCTTCAGCCCCAGACCCCAGCATCCCCTGTGAATGAATGGATTGTGGCCTTGAGCTCCATCAGCACCAGTGTTACAAAGAGAGACAAGAAGACACATCCCCATAGGCAGGGACGCAGCATCACCTAGAAAGTCTCGCCAGAAACTCAAACTTGAATCTATCTGATCAAGACTCTGGATCTAACTACCAATTATCCAGAAATACAGGGACAGAGGGACATGTGAAGCAACACCACAGGCATGCAGTCAGCAGAAAGCACTTTCCGGGAAATTTGTCCCAGTTTCTTCAACAAATACAACACAGTAGGGGAAACGAGAGAGAGATGGTTGTCTAGATTTTATTATTTTTTTAGAAGAATCTTAAGAGGCGTATATATATGTATATATATGTAAGATTATTTTGAGGGAGCTCTGGTGGTGTAATGGTTAAGGCATTTGGCTGCTAACCAAAAGGTTGGTGGTTCAAGCCCACCAGCCAGTCTGTGGAAGAAAGATGAGACAGTCTGCTTCTGTAAAGGTTTACAGCCTTGGTAACCCAAGTGGAGTCACTGTGAGTCAGAATCGACTCATGGCGGTGAGTTTGGTTTGGTTTTGGCGACTTATTTTGAGTCTTGATTTGCACAGTCCATTAGAAAAAAAAAGATAGTTGGAAATCAGGAACAATGACTGCATGTTTGATGAGAATCAGGGAGTGTTTGTTGGTTTTTTAATGTGTTACTGTGGTTATGGTTTAAGTAGTTCTAATTTTCTTAGAGACAGATATGGAAAAATTTATGGAAGACATGACACAGTGGATGGCATGTGCTTCAGATTAATCCAGTGGGATCCATACAGTGGTGTATTATTCAACCACAGAGATAAATGAACCCCAATATATGCTACGAACGGGTGAACCTTGAAAACATACTGTGCTATGTGAAACAAGTCCGACACCAGAGGACGAATACTGTATGATCCTGGATGTGTGAAATGTCTAGAACAGACGAATGCACAGAGACAAAAGTGTGTTAGTGGTTACCAGGGACTGGGGGAAGCAATAAATGGGGAATTATGGCGGAAAGGGCACTGAGTTTCTGTTTAAAAACTCAAACTCACTGCCATCGAGTTGATGCCAACTCATAGCCACCCCCTTTGGGTTTCCAAGGTGGTAAATCTTTACAGAAGTAGATTGCCCCATCTTCCTTCCATGGAGTCGCTGCTGCTGGGTTTGAACTGCCAACCTTCTGGTACCAGTCGAATGCCTTAGGATCTGCCCCACAAGAGCTCCTGGTGTAGTTTCTGTTTAGGGGGATGGAAGACATTTGAAAATGGATAGTGGTGAGAGTTGCACAACATGATAAACATAATTAATGTCACTGATTGTATGCTGAAAAAAAAATTGGTTAAATTGGCAAAAATAAAATAAATAATCCAATGGCGGGGGTAGAGAAAATGGGTAGGGGGTAGAACTACAATGAAAGTTGGCCATGAATTGATAGTTGAAGCTGGTGGTGGGGACGTGAGAGCTCAATATAAAGTTCTCTATTTTTATGTATGTGCGAGATTTTCCATGGTGGTATAGTGGTTAAGGCATTCGGCTGCTAACCAAAAGGGTGGTGGTTCAAACCCACCGTCTGCTTGTTGGAAGAAAGATGAGGCAGTCTGCTTCCATAAAAGATTTACAGCCTCAGAAACATTATGAGAGTCACTATGAGTCAGAATGACTCAATGGCAGTGGGGTCTTTTTGTTTTGAAACTTTCCATAGCAAGAAGGTTTTCTTATTCAGCTCAAACTTCACATCTGCTGGGAAGCCTTTCCCAAAATCCAAGGTAGACCTGGGGCCTCTGAACCTCCCTTGGGACTTTGAGTAGATTTCTACTCTTATACTTATCAGGCCCTATCTTAGCGACCTAGTGCTGCTATGACAGGAATGCCACACGTTGGTGGCTTTAAAGGACAGAAGTTTATTTTCTCAGAGGTCAGGAGACTGGAGCTAGAAATCTGAATTCAGGGCATGGCTCTAGGGAAGGTCCTTCTTTGTCCTTTTCATCTTCTAGTGGCTGGCTGTCCTTGGTGTCCTGGCTTTGTATACGCGTGTGTCTTTGTCTTCATATGGAGTCCTCCCCTGTGTGTGTCTCTGTGTCTGTTCTGTTCTTTTTATAACTCAGAGGTGATTAGGTTTGGGACCCACCCTACTGTCATGGCCTCAACATAAAAAACACCAACAACATAAAAAAAAGAAAACCCCTATTTTCAGACTGGGTCATAGTTACAGGTACCAACTCAACCTAACCCACTGCCATAGAGTCAATTGCACCTCATAGTGACCCTATAAGATAGAGTAGAACTGCCTCATGGGGTTTCCAGGGCTGTAAATCTTTACAGAAGCAGACCACCTCATCTTCCTCCCGTGGAGCGGCTGGTGGGTTCAAACTACTGACCTTTAGGTTAGCAGTCAGATACCTTAAACACTGTGCCACCAGAGCTCCTAGTTATGGATACAGGGGTTACGATTTCAACATACGTATTTTTTGGGGCACAATTCAATCCATAAAAGACCCTGTTAGTCTTGATAGGGAGGCGGCAGAGGAGCTTTTCAAGGTCAAGGACCACATGTCTCAACTTCAAAGGCAGTAGATCCCAGATGTATACTGACCACGTGTGTTAGAGAGCACAGCGGGGTCACCAGGACTTGCTGAACGTGCAGCACTGGACTCCCTTCACCTGTCCTGTAGTTTCAGACTCAGCAGGTCTGGGGTGGGACCCAAGAATTTGTATTTCTCACAAGTTCCCAGGTGACACAGGTACTGCTGGTCCAGGGACCCCACGTGGAGAACTGAGTTAGAAAATAGAATCAAAGACCATTCACATCTTAGGAGCTCAGAACCCCAGCCAGAGCTGGGCCAGAAATTCCGGATTCTCCTGGACTGTGGCTCTTCCCCTTTGGTGACTCCGGGAGCCACGTGAGTTGCCCAAAACCTTTCCCTGAGAATTGTGGGCACGTATGCACACATCCGTGCATATGGCTTCAGGAGTTCAGGACCCTCCCTGAGTCTGCCCATGGACTTCCTGACGCTTCCTTGGTCCTCGGGTTAACAGGACTTAATTTAATCCAGCAACTCCCCCCTTTTGGTGAGATGGGGAAACTGAGGCTCAGGCAGACTAGGGAGGGACCAGGCTGAGCTCACGGGATTCTCAGTTTGCGTGACTCCCTTCTGGGGCTCTGCAGCTTTTGGAAAGGGCCCCAGGGGTCTTGTGTCCTCACCTCTTCCCCTTCCGCCTCAGCTGACATGGCCTCCTGGGCACAAGGGGCCACACAGGCTCTGGGGTGTCATAGAGCCGGTGGGGAGCTGGAGTCTGAGCTCAGCCAGTCACGTGTTAAGTGTGAGCAAGAGGAGTGTCCTGTTCCTCTGAGGGTCAACTTCTTTCTTTCTTTTCCTTTAACTGTGGTGTAATATAAGTAACCCAATTTGCCATTTTAACCATTTTGAAGTGTTCCATGACATTAATTACATTCACCAAGTTGTGCAGCCATCACCGGTATCTATGTCCAAGACTTTTGCACCACCCGAAACAGACACACAGCACCCACAAAGAGGCCCAATTTCTTCATCTCTTAAATGGGGATAATAATAACTTTGCTTCACAATGTTTTGAAATTAATTGATTAATTATCTATCGATCAACATCAACAACAACAACTCACTGCCACTGAGTCGATTCTGACTCATAGCAACCCCCATTGGGTTTCTGAGGCTGTAAGTCTTTAAGGAAGTAGATTGCCCCATCTTCATTCCATGGAGCAGCTGGTGGGTTTGAACCACTGACCTTCTGGTTAGCAGCCAGATGCTGTATCCACTACACCACCAGAGCTCTTATCCATTGATTAGTTTTTTTTTTTTAATGCCAGTTTATTGTGTTTTTGGTGACGGTCTACCAACAGTTTAGGTTCCCATTCAACAATTCCTACACAGGATGTTCAGTGACTTTGGTTCCATTCCTCATAGTATGTGAACTTTCTCATGAATTCTATTCCGGTTGTTCCATTTCCATTCATCTAGTCTCCCTGCTTCCTTACATTCTCATCTTTGTTTTCAAGTAACTGTTGACTGTTTGGTCTCATGTAGGTGATTTTTTAAAGGAGCACCATTAGTGATAATTTTTTGAATAGGCAAATACATGCTTATGGACCCAAACTTTGAAAAAGGGGTGCTAAGAGATGCCCCCAGCTCTGACCTCCAGGCCTCCTCTGAAGAGGCAGGCACTTCTATCATATTTTTATATCTCCTTTCAGAGATGGTCTCACACGACACACCTTACACATACCCAAATACTGTTTTTTTTTTTTTTAAATCTTCTTCCAATGGTTGAGTCTTATACACTGCTGTAGTAATAAAACCTGCTACAGTAATCCATTCGCTTTAAATTTGCTGGACACCTGCTGTGTGCCAGGCACTGTCGTGGGTCCTGGGGATACATGAAAAGACAGAACAGAGGAAATCCCTGCCCTAGGAGGAAGACAGACCATGAACGAATAAACGAATGGATCGCTAATAAATTATCAAGTGGCAATATGTCCTCAGAAGGAAAACAAATGAGAGAGAAGGGAGAGAAAGAAATAGATGCTGGGGACTGATTTATTTTTCCTATATTTTAAAACTTTGTATTGTGACTTGGGTGAGATTGTACAAAGCAGATTCGTTTTACATACCAGGAGTTCACACATAATTTGTTCTGTGATACTGATTACATTCCCCACAGTGTAACATCTCACCTCCCACTTCCAGTTTTCCTATTCTAATTTAAAATTTTTTTGGTCACGGAAAATTCCAGAAGCATACAAAAGCAACCAAGATAGTGTTATGAGTTCCTATGAGCTCTTATCCAGCTGCTGTTTTACCAAGATTTTGCCACACTTCACATATAGGATGGACGTGTTCATATTTTCTTCCATAACTGCAATGCCATTATAACACTGAACAGAATTAATGACCATTTGGATTGCTGTTTTGAGGTAGGTTGGTCCAGGAAGGCTCCTTGGAGGAGGTGCCACTCACTCATGTAACTGGTATTTATTGAGCACTAGGCACTGTCGAAGGAAAGACACCGCAGGCGAAGGCCTCTGAGCTGAGGTTTAAATGCAGGGAAGGAACAGGCCAGGCTGGCTCTCTGAGGGAACAGCAAGTGCAAAGGCCTTAGGGAGGGTTGTTTGAGGAGCCGCTGGAACCTTGTGTGGCTGGAGAAGAGTGGGAGAGGGAGAGGGCTTGGAGCACCTTGTGCCTCAGGGTGAGGACACGGGCCTTTCCAGCTCAGAGGAGCCATGTTCAGAGAGGAGCGTCCCGTGATGGTCCCCAGCGTGTGCACGGGGCCTGCAGGGATTTCTGTTTTCAGTACTGTGCCCCCAGTAGAACAGCCCGGCAAACAGTAGGTGCTCAATTTCTGTTGCACAAATAGGTGGAGTATGAAGCTGCATGGTCAGTGTTAAGGTTACGCCCTCTGAATGTCGCGGTGGGTGCTCTGCCCAGTCTGAGCAAGCCCTCCTCTGGGAAGGTCAGCTGCTTCCTACATACGTGTTGTGAGCATCGCATGACACTGTATTTATGACAGGAAGTGCTTAGTGTTAGTGACTGTTATTGCTGTACTGTGATGTTATCATCCATCGCAGGGGTGCAGGGGAGACCAGGATGGAGATGGGCTTGGGGGCCAGCCTAGGGTCTGGGGACACGCGGAGAGTCAGGGCCACAGCCTGCCCCGCCCCCTCCCAACCTGCGCTCCTCCCCCTGCAGCTCCACCGAGAAGAACTGCTGCGTGCGGCAGCTATACATTGACTTCCGCAAGGACCTGGGCTGGAAGTGGATCCATGAGCCCAAGGGCTACCACGCCAACTTCTGCCTGGGGCCCTGTCCCTACATCTGGAGCCTGGACACCCAGTACAGCAAGGTGCGCCTGCCCCATGGGGCGGGGATGGGGAGGGGGTTGGAAGAGCAGGAGCGGGGTGGGTGGGAGAGGAGAGGTCGATTTAGAGGGATGAATTGGTGGGAGGTGGGGGCAGAGAGACAGACATGGGAGTAGGTGAAGAGATGGAGGGAGAGGCGGAGGCTAGAGACAGTGTGTGAGTAGGGTGAGGGAAACAGGCAGAGGAAGATACCGATATGGGGAGAATGACAGGGAGGGGAGGGGAGGGGAGAGACAGAGAGAGAACAAGACAGAAAGAGAGAGAGAGACGCAGCCGAGAAGCCAGGGGTTGAAAACAGAACAAAGGCGCCCTGGTGGCGCAGTGGTTAAAGAGCTCAGCTGCTAACCAAAAGGTCGGTGGTTGGAACCCACCAGAACTCAGCAGCTGTTCTGCATCCGCAGAAGATGGGGGGCAGTCTGCTTCCATAAAGATTGACAGCCTTGGAAACCCTAGGGGCAGTTCTACTCTGTCCTCTAGGGGCGCTGTGAGTCCAGTCGACTCCAGGGCAAGGGGTTTGGTTTGGGCTTTGCTTCCCGAAGATTGACAGCCTAGGAAACCCTATGGGGCAGTTCTAGCCTGTCCTCTAGGGGCGCTGTGAGTAGGTATCGGCAGTATTTTATTTATTGATTTTTTTCTAAGAGAGTGAGAAAACCAGAAAGGTGAGGAAAAACAAAATTAGAAGCAGCAAGGAGATGGGGAGACGGAGATGGGGAGACAAGGAAAACAAGAGATGGGGGATGGGGAAGGAGGCCGATGGAGAGCCCCCTCCCAGCCCTACTGTCCGCGAGCCCTGACCCGGCCGGCGCCCTCGCCCTCGCCCCGCCGCAGGTCCTGGCGCTGTACAACCAGCACAACCCGGGCGCGTCGGCGGCACCGTGCTGCGTGCCGCAGGCGCTGGAGCCCCTGCCCATCGTGTACTACGTGGGCCGCAAGCCCAAGGTCGAGCAGCTGTCCAACATGATCGTGCGTTCCTGCAAATGCAGCTGAGGCCCCGCCCCGCCCCGCCCCTGCCCGGCAGGCCCGGCCCCGCCCCCGCCCTCGCCCTCCGCTGCCGGGGGCTGTATTTAAGGACACCTGCGCCCCAAGCCCACCTGGGTGCCCATTAAAGGTGGAGACAGGACTGGGTGTCTGTGTGTCATTGGGGGGGCCTGACTGCGCATTCTCTCCCCGACTTTCACGTTACTGTCGCCTCTTCTGGTGTCTCTCTCTCGGCCATCGCATCAAGCCTAGCTGCGCACAGACCCAGCTCCATGTACCCTCCTCCCCGAGAGAGTCCCTGTATGGTGCAAACGGTTAAGAGACGGACTGCTAACCCAAAGGTTGGTGGTTCAGACCCACCCAGAGGCCTGCTAACCTCCTTCCAAAAGGTCGTTAGCTAAGTTCTACTGTGTATACACACAGGGTTCCTCAGTCAAAATCTACTCTAGGCACCGTGAGCGCTAATAAACGGAAGGAACCACACCCATTGCTGCCCCGTGGATTCCAACTGTCCAGTGACCCCGTATGTGTCAAGAGGAGAGCTGCCCCACAGGGGGAAGCAGATTGCCGGGCTTTTTCTGTTGGGTGCTCCTGGGTGGGTTCAAACACCAGCCTTTATATTAGCAGCAATTGTACCTCGAGCCCTGGTCTCAGTGCTTGACATTATTAACTCATCGAATCACCAGACCTGAGTAGAGGAAATCTGATAACATCCATCTGAAAGGTGAGGAAACTGAAGCCCAGAGAGGTTCAGGGAACAGGACAAACATTTCCGGCCCAGCAGGAGCCCTCTTGCTGGGAAGAGACAGGCAATAAAAATAGCCATTCAGGGATAAGGAGCTCTGGTATGGTAGCATAGTGCCTAAGGCCCTTAACTGCTAACCAGAAGGTTGGCGGTTCCCGGAAGGTTGGTAGTGATACTGCCTCGGCAACCCAAGGAGTTAGGGCCTTGTCGGCACATAACAACAGCAATGTTCAGGGGTAAGTGGCATGAAAGAGATGGCTTCTCTGAGGAGGTGGCACTTGAGCCCAGAAGTGAAGGCTGCCAAGAAGCCAGGCTATGGGAGGGTAGCGGGAGAGTGTCCTGGGGGAGGCTAAAAGCAAAGGTGTGGAAGTGGGGACAAACAGGATGTGCTGCATAGGGAAGAAAAAGGCCTGTGTGGTTGGTGGGAGTTGGGTCAGACGTCAGATCATGACACCCACCGGCCAGAGAGTAACAACACTTCTTCAGTCAGGTGTGCCGTTTCCACAAGCTCATTTCATTTGCCCCACAACTCAACACAGCAGGGGTTGGCAAACTGCAAGCTGCCCTCTAATGCTGCTTGCTTTTGTAAATAAAGTTTTATTAGAACACAGCCATGTTCATTGGTTTCCAGGTTGCCTGTGGCTGCTTTCCAGTTAACAGAGGAGTTGAGTAGCTGGGACAGAGACCCAATGGCCTGCAAAATCCAAAGTATTTACTATCTGGACCTTGCTAGGAAAAGTTTGCCAGCCCCTGCTATAGAGTCCATTTGAGCCTCATTTTACAGATGGGGATACTGAGGCACAGAGAGGTTAAGTTACTTGTTTACCCTCACACAGCTAGTAAGTGGGGAACTGGAATTCAAGTCCAGGCAGCCTGAGTTCAGGGCTCGTACACGTAACTCCTGAACTAGTACTGTCTCCCAGGTCCCACAGGCCTATGGGACCTTAGGAGAACCCTCTGAGGAGGTGAGAGCCATGGCAGGGCTCTGAGCAAAAGAGGAGTGTGCTCAGAAGGTCCCTCGGCTGATGATTGAAGGGAGGCTGGATAAGACCAAGGGTGGCTGCAGGGACACCAGGGAGGCAGAGAGCGGCTGTGGTCCAGGTCAGAGAGGACGGTGCCTCAGCCAGGGTGGGTTCTCTCCTGCCGCTGTTTGCTCCCATCTGTTTGTGAATTCTCTCCTGCTTCCTTTTCTCACTCTCGGTTTCCCCGTTTTGCTTCCAAGTTTCACTTCCTCCCTCTCGGTCTTCCCTGCCTTTCTCAGGGCCAGGGGTCCCTTGACTTGCTCCTCCTTCCAGGACTGTCCTGGAAAGTAGGACATTGGATGTCCCCTTGCCTGTGGGCATAAGAGGCATTTGGCAGCACTGGGTCTGAGTAAGGGTGGCCTGGGGCCCTGGAGGGGGGCTTCCCAGCTCAGTCCAGCAAGAGAAATGGGGTCACTCCTCTTGCCTCAGGTCTGGGAGCTGGGTGGGGGGGCTAGACGCTGGGGTTTGGGAGGTCACTAGGCCAGGACATACCACCATTGTTAGCGGCCTCATCTGTGGAAACACTGCCACAGAGGCCTGGCCCTAAGAAGCAGAAACATCTACAGGGATACAGTGATGTGGACTCGGTCGCTGCAGCCCCACGAGGATGCAGCACACCCGTGCTCACAGCTCAGTACGGATGCTGCCCCCAAACCCCACCCACCTCAGAGCTACACTGGACACAGTATCAGTGGAGACTCCTGCAGGAGCCATGACCTGCACCTGGTAGCAGTCACAGCCCCACACATACACAGATATAAATAGAGAACAAGTTATCCCATCACATACACACACGGCCTGGCCTTGGGGCATGCCACAAGCAGAGACTTCAGTAGGGACACAGCAAGACACCATCTCACAGATTCGGTAGCGCCCCAGTTATCACCAGTGCACACCGGATTCGGCCAGTGTCGTACGCAGACACACATCCCAGCACTAGAGCCCGTCTGGAAGTGAAACACAGACTCCGGTAGGGACCCACTAACAGTTGCACAAACATCCTCATGGGGCCAAGGTCATGAGCAGACAGTGCTAGGCACCAGGAGGCCTGGCATACCCCACATGGAGACTGGGCGGGTCGCGGTCACACAGGTGGTCGTGTCCCCTCACTCTGACACCGCACACCCCCACGCACTCTTGAGCCTGAGGAATCCTCGTGGCCCTAAAGACTACAGCTGTCTCGTCATACCCAGACACACTGTCACACCCAGGGGCTCAGACGGAGCAGCTCCCACACTCCCAGACACGCCCCCACCCTGGGTCACAGACAAGGCCCTCACACGCCCAGCTCATGCCTCGCCTGAGGACTAGCAATAATAGGCCCACACTCCGCATGGCCGCACACGCCACTGCCGGCCTCCCCAGCTACCTCGCTCTCCTCGTGACACGCCCGCCCACCTGCCCCAGGGCTACCCGCTGAGCTGGCAGGCGGGGCTGGGGAAGGGAAACTTGTGGGCTCAGCACCTTCTTCACCCGTTGTGCACCCGGGCGGCTGCCCCAGCCCGGCCCCTGGCACCCAGGGCCTGCTGGTGGCCAGGCCTGGGTAGGACAAGCCTGGCCCTGCCCACAGCCAACCAACCACAGGGGCAGGGCAGGGGTTCCAGGGATGGGGGGAGGGGTGCCTCTCTCCTCCCAGGCCACCTCTGCGGGCAGGGCAGGCAGGGAGGGAAGTCGTGGGGGGAGCCTGGGTTCCGGCTGGAGCCCCAGCTTCCTGTCCGGCCCCCATGGTGCAGGAAGCAGCCCAGGGAGGCCAGCTCAGGCCTTCCTGCCCCCTCCCCCAGGCAGGCTGGACTGAGGTCAGCGTGTGTGTGTGTGTGTGTGTGTGTGTGTGACACACACACACACACACACACACTGCACGCAAGACAAAGACACAGAGTGAGAGAGACCCCTTCCCCAAAATCTCCGGGCACACAGCATGTGGTGTTTCTAATCTGAATTTGGGTGTGTTAGGACCTGTGTGTGTGAGAAAGACACAACACACACTCACAGGGAGAGAGGGAGAGACACAGAGACCCCTACCCCTTCTCTGAGCACACAGTATTAGTGTGTTCTGTGTGTTTTCAGTGTGAGTTTGAGTGTATTCAGAACCTGTGTACGTGTATGCACGCACACACACGTGAGCAGGCTTTGTGGTGGGGGTTTTGTGTTTCCGGCACAGGAGCTCGCAGCACACGGGCCTGGGTGCTTCGTTACTGTGGGTGTACCTGTCACAGTAGCGTGTTCAGTGTGTGTGGCCCCCGCACACGTTCAGCTCTGTGTGTTTGTGAGTACGCTGCATTTCCGGTGTGTGCATCTGCGTCTTGTGTTTCTCTGTGCCTTTTTTTCCTGGCACCGTCTGATGACTTGGCAACTCTGTGTGTGTGAGTGGAGATTATCTTTGAGGCGTTGTTAGGTGTCTGAATGTTTTTTCTCAACAGCTTTGCCGTTCTTTCCGGGTGTAAGCTTGTGCACGCAGAGTGAAAGTTTGACTGAAGGGGTGGGTGTTTGCTGTGTGAGTTTATGGCCTGTGAGCAAGACGTGTTTCCAGGAGGTGTTGGGTCTTCTGCGTGTCTTACCCGGGAGCTTTATTTCCAGTGTGAGTGTGTGTAATTGATCCCAGTGTTTGTGTCTGTGGGCATGTTGTTTCCGGGTGGTTGTGTGACCAGTGTGTGCCGAGCTGCTGTTCTGAGCATGTTTGTGGGGCTGTGTGGCGTGTCTGCAGCATGTTTGCTGACGTTCTCACGGTGTGTTTGTGTCTGTGAGAGGGAGGTGTGGTATGTCTGTGGCCCCTCATGGGCTAGTACTCTCTGTGCGTGGGGGTCTGTGCGTCTGTGAGCAGTCTGTCTCATATGTGGGCTGGTGACTTCAGCCTCGTGAGGAATGTGTGGTCTCTGGGCTGTGTCACCCAGAGGGCATTCCTAGTTCTCAGTGGAGGGGAGGGACGGTGTGTTCTTCGGTCGCTGCCCTGGGTGCCAGTCTGCTTTCTGTGCTGGCGTTTTTAAATGAGGGGGGTTGTGTGGCCCAGCGCAGCCGCCGACATCCTCGGGGACCAGGGCCTGCTGGCCTCCATGCGGAGTGGAGGCTGCCTCTGCGGCACGTCCCCTTGCCGGCTGGTGCCACGCTGGCTCGGGGCTGGCTGCGGCGGGCAGGGCAGGGCAGGGGCTGCAGTGGGCACTGGACCTGTGCCCGGCCCTCGGTATAAATATCCCGGCTGCTGGCGGCTGTGTTTACTCGGTCCCAGCCCCGGGGGCGGCCGCGGCCCAGCGGGTCCTGGGGGCGGGGGTGACCAGGCCACAGTGCAGACATTTCCTTCTGACTAGACAGGCCCACAGCCTCGCTGTCCCCCTCCCACCTCCTTTCTGAGTGGCGGTGAGGCGGGGACCCCTCGTTTGGGCTCCCAGGGGCCACCCACTTGGGAAGCTCTGGTCTGGACGTCTGAGCTGGGCCTCCCAGGGCCTGGGAGACAGGCAGGAGGGAGCAGAGACCCAGACACAGAGCAGAGAAAGATAGGAAAAAATGAGGGTCCACAAAGAAGTCGGGGCAGGAAGGAGGGGAACAGGGAAACAGGGTCACAGGGACCGTGACAGAGCCCAAGCCGGAGGGAATGACAAGAGAGACAGAGAGGCACAGGAAAATGAGGGGGGAGACCAGTGAGAAGCGGTGGGTCACAGCCGGCCAGAGAAGTGCGGGGCGGAATGAAAAGGAGAGGAGGAGGAACAAGAAAGGCATGAGCTGTAGGCAAACAGGACAGCAGGGGCAGCGACAGGGACACAGATGAGGGAAGGCTTTAGCTTTGGCAAGGGGCAGAGGTGTCAGGCGTCAGGGGAGGGAGGGCCAGGAGCTGAGAGGCGGCCAGCAAAACTGGGCCCGGGCCAGGCCAGACGGAGACCCGGGGAGGGGAAGGGGCTCGCCCCCGCTGGGCCCTCCCGCCCTGACTCAGTCCTCCGCCCACCTCAGGCCGGCAGAGCTGGGGGTGAAGGGAGGGTGCCTGTGGCACCTCCAGCTCCCCGTTGCTCAGAGGCTGTGAGCGGAGGTGTGTCTCCCGTCATCCAGCCGGTTCTCAGAGATTTGCCCGACTCCGTCCCTCTTCCTGTCTCCCGGGCTAATCCCTGCCCCTGTGACCAGCTCCACCTCTGTTTCTCGGCCACAGACGCTCACTTTTCAACCATCTGACTAACCCCGCTGCTTCTGACTCAACTCCTGTCTCCCTCACATCCCTTTTTTTTTCCCTTTTTACTACGTAACACGTGGGGTCGCCAGGAGCCGGAATCAAATCAAAGCCAACTAATTTGTTTTTTCAACATAAGAAAAATTGTTTATGGCAAAACATATCATAAACACATTTAACAACTGGTCAAAAATGTGCCTTCACTAAGGGCTGACACCTTGTAACGTGCGGTCTACAAACTGATGGCACAAACACAGGTGCCTAAGACAGATGTCCCTCTTCTCTGTCACTCTGTCTTTCCAAATGGTGGGACCCCAAGGATCTTGGAGTGTGGGGCTGGAGTGTCTTGGGCCTCGCTGCTTACTTCGCTAGGAGATGGGATAGCCATACTCATGTTCTCGTGGATAAGGTGTTGGGACAATTCAGCGACATGGCCACCCACGGTTTGGGAAGGTACCTGGCACAGCGGGAGGGCGGGCCGAAGCCACTAGCTGTTATCCTCAACCTCCAGGGCTTTGTGAATCTTTCCACCTGAGGAACTGTGTGCTGTCCCTCTTCCTGGCCCTGGGCGGCCCCCTGTGTCTGCAGGTGGGCTAGCAGGGGGGTCTCTAGGACCTGCATGGTTCCAGACCCCGTCCACGTCTCAGCTTTGCCTCTGATGGTGGGGCCATCTTAAGTAGCGTCTCTTTTCTGGGCTTGCAGCGGGCCACTGGTGACCAGGAGTTGAGAGCCCTGGTTCCCAGGCTCTCTGAAGCATCCAGCGAGGGGCCCCGGCTGCACTTCCTTGATGATGCCCCCATGTGAGCAGCCCCGACCCGCCCAGCTCGCAAGTCCTGTGTCCACTCTAATCCTGGCTGACCCAGAAGGCAGCGCCGAAGCTAGGACTGAGCAGCTGCCCTCCCCGGAGGCCTGGGGTCTCCCCCGCTGGGCTGCGTGCCTGGGGCAGCTCTGAGGGCTCACTGTTCCATCAGGGGTGAGGGTTCCCCGGCTCCACTTTCTTGACCTGGGCCTGGCCTGCCCCCATGGCCTTGTGTGTGTGTACTGGGGGAGCCCGAGTGGGTGTGGGGGCATGGGAAGGCAGGCCGCCTGGGTTCCCACAGGCCAGCGGCTGGCTGGCTGAGTCACCCGGCGGCCATCTGGCTCCCATTAGCCCGGGGCGGCAGGGGGCTCTGTGGGGCGGGCCCTGTGGCCTGCCATGTGTGTGCGGGATGACTCAGGGCCCATGATAACAGCCTGTGCGTATTTGGGGTGTAAACAGGCGAGAGAGGCGGAGGAAGTGAAGGAAGGGAAGACTGTGGCTGGGCAGAGGGGGGCTGGCGGGGCTGGGAGGGGGGCACCCTCCCACGGCCCCCCTCCCCTGAAGCTGGCACCCACGATCCCCGGTTCTGCCCCTGCCCAGCCCTCCCCAGCCTGGGTGCCCCCTGCCCACAGTAAGGTGCCTTACTCAGCAGCCAGCTGAGGTTTTTAGCTCACAGCAGCCAGCCTAGGTGGGGAGACTGAAACGCAGAGATAAAGTCTGAGAGACGAAGAGGCAAGGGGCAGGGCAGAGGTGGTGCGGTGGAAATGTACAGGCAGGAAGAGGCAGAAGGAGGGGCCGAGCGTGAGACAGACACACAGACACACAGTGGAGAGGGACCGAGACAGAGGCCCGGGGCCCAGGCGGCAGCCCCACGCCGAATCGGGCACTGGAGCCAGCCTGGCCGCTCCAGCTACCAAGAGCCCCCGGGGCTGCGGTCAAGGGCGGATGGATATTCCTGCTGTGGAGAGAGCCCAAGGCATGAGAGGGAGAAAGTGGGAGACACAGAAGTCCAGAGACACGGAAAGAGGGAGACAGGCAGAGAAGAAAAAGAGGGGGGCAGTGACACACAGCAGGAGGGAGACAGAAAAGCAGGGGTAGGAGGGCAGAAGACAGAGGAAGAAACCCAGAGACACAAAGACACAGAGAGAGAGAGATGGCAAGAGACGATAAAAGACAGGCGGGTGCTCAGGGGAGAGAGGGAACTCCAGAAACGGGTGAGACGAGGCCAGCAGAGCTGCTGACGGTGGTGGGACGGCCCTGGTGCCCCCTCAGAGAAAGAGTCACTGAGCCGGCCTGTCATCAACTGTCTTGTTGGGGCTGGGGACGGGCTGGGGAGGCTGGCAGGCCGAAGTCCCCGTCTGGCTCGGGGCTGGGCGCGTCCTCCGGTTCCTCCTCGTCGAAGTACCGCTCCTCCTCATCCCGCGCCACGATGTCCAGGTTGTCCAGGTCAGGGTTGTTGTCCACCGTGCTGCAGGGGGGAGGCCGTCAGGGCCCCAGGCCACCCCTCCTCTGCTCCCCGCACGTTAGGGGACCTGGGGCCCTAACTGGGGCGGTGGCAGGCCCGGGTCAAGGGCCTGGGGAACCCAGGGTCAGGGGCAATGTGCCGGCAGTTGCCAGATGAAACTGACCCTCAGAAGGGATAGTTTGGCTCCTCGGGAAAAGAGGTGATTTTTATCAGAGATTTTACACAAACAGCGGGATTTCCAGCTTGTGTTGGAAAGCTGGCTGATGTGGTGATGCTTGGGCTCGCGTTCTCTAAGGCAGTGGATCTCAAACAGGGCCACTTTGTCCCCCAGGGACGTCTGGGGACTGTCTGGAGACACTGAGATTGTCCCAACTCGGGGGTGCTTCTGGCCCCGAGTGTGTAGAATCAGGGGTTCAGTGCACAGGTCCTGCCCAGAAGGTCAAGAGGGCCAAGGCTGACAACCTGCCCTGAGGCAGCAACACCCTTCTGAGCCTGAGGAGGAAAGCGGCTCTGCCCCTGGCCCTCCCGCTCCACCGATCTCCTCTCCATCACTCTGCGCGGGTCTCGGCCCGGCCCCCAGGAGGCGCTCCAGCCCTCGCCCTCACAGACTCCTCCAGCCAGCCACTCGACCCCCAGCTGTTCCACCACTCGCCAAGCATGGGCGCCTCGGAGCCTCTGCCGCAGCAGCACCCCACCCCTGGGAATTCTGGGGCTGAGATCTTTGCATGCGAGTCACCTCCTCAGAGAGGCCGCCCCATTCCCTGCCCAGTTCCCCTATGGCCTCCCTACCCCGGGACGCTGGGTAATTCTGTCTTCCTCAGAGTTTTGCTCTAGTCAGTTCTGCTCCCCACTTTACCCCCGGAGCCCGGACGAGGCAGACGCTCGCTAACACTGCTGGGACGGCCTCCCGAGAGGGCACAGCTTCAGGCTCCCCCTCCCCACTGCTCATGCCAGGCCCAGTGTCCCCACAGACAGCGGGGTGTATGGGGGCTGAGCGGACGCAGCCTGCTTCCAGGGGTTCCCCATGCCCCAGCCTCGGGGCCGACCACTGTCCGTGGGGAGGTTCCCCATGCCCCAGCCTCGGGGCCGACCACTGTCCGTGGGGAGGTTCCCCATGCCCCAGCCTCGGGGCCGACCACTGTCCGTGGGGACTGCGGTTCCAAGCGGCCCCATCGGAGCAGGAGCCGGAGCGGCTGGATTCAACCCTGTGGCCTGTGCCCAGGCAGGCCTGCTGTGGAGTGAGGCCACCATCCCTAGTTCATGGATGAGACCCCGAGGGTTCAAGTGGAGAGGCCGCTTGTTCACATCACAATATTCCTAAATAGCTGGAGCTGGATTTGAAACCAGGACCTCTGGCTGCCAGACCCTGGGTTCTGGACCACCAGGCCACATGCCACCATTTACAAAACCATCTGTCTCTGACCCTGAAACTTCACTCTCCTGTGTCCTGTTCCCTGACGGCAAAATCCTTTTCCAAAGCAGGCCACCCGGGGCTCTCACCCTTGGGGGCCCATTGGAGAAATTCATGCACCGGAACTGCAGGGGCAGCACCACAGGCCCCCCCACTAGGCACTGACCCTGCCAGGTGTCACTTCCTGCCGCACGAGGGGCCCAGGGTCCTGGGAGCTTAGGGGCTGGAGGTAGTGGAGTCTTATCAGGCAGAACGGGCCTGCTCCAATATACTGTCAACACGGAGCAGAATGCCCTGGCCCTTCCCTCCTTAGAGGCTGAGGGGACCAAGGTCGCCCAGCTGCCTTTGGAGCGCTGTCTCACCCCAGGGCCATGGCCAGCAGTGCTCCCAGCCCTCGGAGCATGTGCGGGACCTGGCGGGGGCGGGGCCCGGAGCACCTGTAGTCAAAGTCCCCGTCCTTGCCGTCCAGGAAACGCTGGTGCATGCGGCTGGTGAACTCCTCCCGCAGGATGAGCCTCTCCTCCGAGTCGGGGATCCAGGCCTCTGAGTCTTTGCTGGAGCTCCTGTCTGCATGGGAGACATACACCGGGAGGGCGTGCAGGCACCGAATGCCTCGGTGCCCAGCCCAGTGCCGGGTGCACAGGGTCACAGCAGTGACTAACAGGCCTGGTCCCTGCCTTCCCCGATGCACACCCAACACATACTGACAGAGCAGTGCTGTGTGAACCAGGGAGTAACTAACGGGGTGAGGACCTGAGGATAAGGGAAAGGGGAGCAAAGGGAAGGCATTCCTGGCATGGGGAGGAGCACGGATAAAGCATTACTAGGTATCTATCCTAAAGAAGTGAGAGGCAGGACACGAACAGATATATGCACACCCATGTTCATCACAGCACTACGCACGATAGCAGAGAGATGGAGACAGCCTAAGTGCCCATCAACAGAGGAATGGATAACCAAACTATGCCACATACACACAATGGACTACTATGCAACCCTAAAGAACAGTGTAGAGTCTGCAAAACACCGCATAACATGGATGGACTAGGAGGACATTATACTGAGTGAAGTAAGTCCATCACAGAAGGACAAATACTGTATTAACTCACTATTATAAAAAGTCACTGAAAGGTTTAAGCATGGAAGGAAACTTTCTTTGTTGGTTACCAGGGATGGGATGGGGAGGGAAAATTCCTAGATTAAAAAAAACTAAAATACACATATATAGGAACTAAAGATCATTAGTGTTTACCAGCGGTAGGAAAGAGGGGTAAACGTGAAGCTTTTGTTTGCAGGGCACTGAGTTTATGCTGATGGTGGTATTTTGGAAAAGGCAACAATGGGGGAACAACATGAGAAATGTCATCAACATCCCTGAGCTGTAAATGGAGAAGTTGTTATGTTGTCAAATACCTCTGTGTATGTTTTTACCACAATAAAAGTTAAAAAAAATAAATAAATAACACAGTCAAAGGCCTGTAGGTACAAGATCCCTCGGTGCCTCTGAGGTGGCACGAGCAGCCCTGTTTGAGGGACAAAGATGCCAGAGAGTCTGGGCAGGGCCAGGCCGCGTGGGGCTGAGGGCTGCGTGGGGCTGGGGGCCGCGTGGGGCTGGGCAGACCAGAAGTGTCCTCTGTTGCCAGAAAATGGAGACAGGCCTGGGCTGTCCAGACACTGGGGTCTCCATGCTCCTAGCCCCTCTCACCTTCCTCGTTGCTGTCCTCCTCCTCTTCCTCCTCCTCCAGGCAGGCCTCCTCCTCTTCCTGCTGTTGGAGCAGCCGCTGCTGCAGCTCCCACTCCTGGTAGGACTGGAGCAGCAAGTCGGAGAGGGGGCAGGCAGGGTTGCCGGGGGAGCCGGGCTTGGGGGCCTGGGGGGCTGGGGCGCGGGCTCTCAGCTCCTCCTGGGTCAGGTACTGCCCGATGTACTGCTCATATAGCAGTGGCGCCCGGAACCGCATCTGCTCGTCACTGAAGTACTCGCCCCCTGCGCAGGGGAGAGTGTCACCAGGGGTCAGGCATGTGGACGAGGGGCCGGCTGTGTGGTACACATAGGAGCAGATGTGTGCATGCCATCATGTGTCAGGGCCTAAGGTCATGTGGGAATGTGTGCTCACATGGGGCTGAGCATGTATGCAGAGCAGACATATCTACATGCGTCCTCACCTGTCCAAACCATGTGCACGGTCAGGCAGCCTGCCGGCCCCAGCAGCACTGCTGATCTGGGGCACCATTCATGAGTGCCTCCCCCGGAACGTGTGCACATTTGAGTTGGTGTGTGCAGTTCACACCCACTCTGGGGTGTCTCGGCACACTGCCTGTGGTCATATCTGTGACACACGGGTACCTGTGTGATCGGGAGTCGATGTGCAGATGACATGGGAGATGTACTGCACACATGGCCAAGTGCCTGGGCCCGTCTTTTGCAGGTTACACATCTGAACACATGTGCTGTTGGGCACGTGTGCATGTCCGCATGTGTACACAGGATCAGGGAGGGTGGGTGTGTGCCCAACTGTGCGTATCTCTGGTGGGAGCTGTCTGCCTGGGGGTGGCAGGCACCCAGCTCTCACCTCTCCTCTCTGCAGCCATCCCCTTGGCTTTCCCGTCACCTCAAAATTCAGGTTCTTCACCTTTCCCTTGGAAGCCTGATCCCACAGGAGCATTTCCATCCCTCAGATGAGAGGGTCCCCTGATCCCTCCCACCCACTGGCCCTAGCCCTGTCTTCAGAGCCCAGGGCAGGAGGAGACTGGGAGTTTCTGCCCGGAGGGTCTGGCCCCTGCAGCACTGTACTCTGTGTCTTGGGTCCCACCCTGCTTGGTGACTCTGGCCCACCACCTCTCACTCCCCATCTCTGTGGCACCTTCCAGCCTCCCTCTTCCCAGCTCTGTCACCTTCTCTCTGGATCTGTTTCTCTCCCTTTCCCCCTTTATCCCCGTCTCTGCCTCCACACCGTTCCTGCTTTCTCACTTCCTGTCACTTAATCCCACCTCATTCATTCATTCACTCACCCATTCATCCTTCCCCTTTTTGCCTCTGTCCCCCTGCCTGGCCCTGTGTCTCATTCTTCCTGTCCCTCTATGGCTTGCGCCTCCTCCTCCCTCACTGGAATTATACCTCACTAGAGAGTTCAGTTGCTCTTGTCCTTCAGCTCTGGTTCAATGTCTTTGGTCAGAGGTACTTTTACTCATGTCAAGGTCAAAAAGACAGCAGTGCTCTCCTTCACCACTTTCATGTGCTATGTCTGTGCAAGAAGGGTCTCATGTCCCCAGAGTTATAAACACATTCCATTGGTTTCCTTCACTACCTTTGTGTATGATGTGAGGTAGGGATCTACTTGTCTTTACGGACAATCACTTATCTCAGTGCTGTGTACTGGATAAGCCCTCCTTTACTCACTCATTTGAAATGCCACTTCTGCCAGCCACTAAGTTCTGAACTTCCTCACTGTGCCTTTCTCTTCCCTGGGCCCACCTGTCTCTACTATCGCTCCCTCTCACTTCACATCTCCCTATCTCACTCTCTCCCATCTCTCTGAACAAGCATCTCCCAGGACCACTGTCTCAGTGTTTCTGCTCTTACATCTGTGCTTCTCACTACCTCTGCCTCAGTCTTCCTGTTGCTCCTGACCGGTGCCTGTTTCCCACTCACCTGTCTCTGCTTCCATCTGCCCTTCCTTCGCACCTCGGCTTCAGCCGCCCTTTCCCTCCTCGTCCTGGCCTCAGTCTCCCCTCCCTCCACATCTCTGCCCGCCCCCCTGCCCATGTGCTCCCCACCTTGGATGAGCTCCCGCAGGGCAGCATAGCGCCGATTGCGCAGGGCACGGGGCCGGGCGGTGCCCTGCCGGGCCACCTCGGCGCAGTAGAAGTCTGCGCGGTGGTCACCACGTAAGTGGCCGAAGCAGCCCAGGTGCTCCTCACGGAGGCCCGTGCGGAAGCGCTCCAGGAACACCAGCGGCTTCTCACGGTACAGCTGGCCCAGGATAGCCACCTTCTCCTGCTCGGTCAGGTCAGGCTCGCCCTGCTGCTGGCTGCACACAGGCAGGCGGCTGGCAGCCACGGCTCGCAGCATGGCGCCCACCGCTGCGCTCTCAGCCCTGGGCAGGGTGGTGTCCGGGGCCTCTGGCGCTCCCTCTGAGGCATCCACCTTGTCCTGGGGCCTGGGTGGCACTGACGTCCAGCTCAGCTCCCCCCAGTGGCCAGGACTGGGCTCTGTGCAGCCTGTCAGGAGAAGATTGGTCAGGGTGGGCGTGGTCAAAGGGAAAGAGGAAGGACCAGGGCTCAGTCCCTCCCTCCTTCTTCCGGCAGTGCCTTTGGTTTAGTTTTTTCTTTATTCTGGCCACAGTTTTAGGCCCTTGATACCACTGAGTGAACAAGACAGGTAAAACCTCCTACCCTCAGGAAACTGACCTTTAGTGGGGCATATGGACAATTAATAAGTGATTTTAATTACTAGAAACTTATAGTGTGCTTAAAAAAAAAAAAAAAAAAATCAAACCCACTGCCATCAAGTTGATTCTGACTCACAGCAACCCCTGTTGGGTTTCTGAGCCTGTAAATCTTTACAGAAGTAGAGTGCCTCATTTTCCTCCCAAGGAGCAGCTGATTCCCTTTGGGTTTCTGAGGCAGTAAATCTTTATGGAAGCAGATCACTTCATCTTCCTTCACAGAGCAGCTGGTGGTCTGACCTCTGACCTTATGGCTATCACCCAAATGCCTTACCCGCTATGGCACCAGAGCTCCTTTATAGTGTGTTAGGTGGTTTCAAAAACTGTGTAGCGAAATAAAGAGTGAACAGAAAGGGAGCAGAGAGGAGTGTGCAATTTGAAATGGGATGGTGCGCGAAGGCCTTTCCAACCAAAACGGATGTCTGAGTAGAGACCTGTAGGTGGTGAGGGACCGAGCCATGGGATTTCTAGGCCAAGGGAACAGCAAGTGCAAAGTGAGCTGGCTGGTGCCTGGTGTATCTGCTTGGTCCCTTACGCCCTCCCTCGCTGATTCACTCCACTGTTTGCCTTTTCACTTGTTCACAAAACCATGAATACACTCATGAGTTCGTTCACTCATTCACTAGCTCTTCCACGTTCACACACGGACCCAACCACTCTTCTGTGACTCAGACTCCATGCAAGTCTCAGCTGAGAACCCATGGGATGAAGCCCATTCATCTCCTGCCCTCAGTGAGCATCCAGTCTGACAGGGGAGGCAGTCAAGGTCAAAGACAAGACAGAGATAACTGGAAAGCCGAGTACTGTGAAAATCTTGGGGACAGTTGTTTCCTTAAAGTGGTAGCATTTGGAGCAAGACTGCAGCAAGCAGGAGATACAATGGAAAAGTACAGACAGATCCTTTAGGGAGCTTGGTGGGAGAGACAGGAGAGAGGGGTCAAGGTTATAGGTCTGACGGGGAGGCTTTAATCACTGAAGCAAGAAAAGATTGAGCTGGACCAGGGCAAGGGTGGTGGAGAACAGTGGGTGGTGGAAAATAGCCACTCCGGAGGCTGAGGCGGCAAGCCATGAGGCTGAAAGGCTGGCCAGGGAGGGAGGCATCGAGGATGAGCTCTAAGGCTCTGGCCTGGGGCACAGTCAGATTGTCTCTGAGGCTGGGACATGGAGGAAGAACAGGTCTAGGGGAAGATGCTGAGGCCAGTGTGGGACACGGAGGGTATGTTGGCCCCAGGGAAGTCCAAGAGACTTCTTGGGAAATGAAAGGTAGGGGTGTGTGTTGGGGCTAAGGTAAGAGAATAGGGCCAACGAACAGATGGGGAGAAGTCATAGCAGTGAAGGACCCTGTGATGAGCTCAAACAAAACCCCTCAGAAGAAATGAACATTCCAATTCATCGAACCTGTAACTATTACTTTATATGGCCAAAAAGGGTCTCTGCAGATATGATTAAATTAAGGGTCTTGCTATGGAGAGATTATCCTGGATTATATGAAGGTAATTTGAGAAGCGTTAGCCTGGAATGTGGAAATTACCAAACAGTATCATTAATATCACATGCAAGTAACATTTTGCTGAAGATAATTTAAAAACAGTTGCAGCAATACACTGACAGGGAACTTTCAGAAACTCAAGCTGGATTCAGAGAGGATGTGGAACACGGGTATCATTGCTGATGTTAGATGGATCTTGGTTGAAGGCAATGAGTACCAGAAAGATGTTTACTTGCATTTTCTTGACTATGCAAAGGCATTTGACTGTGTGGATCAGAACAAATTATGTAAAGAATGGGAATTCCAGAACATTTAATTGTGCTCATGAGGAACCTATACATAAATCAAAAGCCTGTCATTTGAACAGAATAAGGAGATACTACATGGTTTAAAATCAGGAAGGGAGTGCATCAGGGTTGTATCCTTTCATCATACTTATTCAATCTGTATGCTGAGCAAATGAGCTGAGAAGCTGGACTGTATGAAGAAGGACATGGCATCAGGATTAGAAGAAGACTCATTAACAACCTGCAATATGCAGATGACACAACCTTGCTTGCCAAAAGTGACTGAAGATAACTTGAGACTGAAGTTGTCAGGGATTTCATTTTACTTGGGTCCACAATCAACACCCATAGAAGTAGCAGTCAAGAAATCAGACATCATATTGCATCGGGCAAATCTGCTGCCAAAGACCTCTTTTAAGTGTTAAAGAGCAAAGATGTGACTCTTTGAAAACTAAGGTGCCTCTAACCCAACCCATGGTATTTTCAATCACCTCATATGCATGTGAGAGCTGCAGAATGGATAAAGAAGACCAAGGAAGAGCTGATGCCTTTGAACTGTGGTGCTAGTGATGAATAATAAAGATACAGTGGACTGCCAGAAGAATGAACTAATCTGTCTTGGAAGACGTGCAGCCAGAATGCTTCTTGGAAGCAAGAATGGCCAGACCTCGTCTCACCTACTTCGCTCACGTTGTCAGAAGGGACCATTCTCTGGAGAAGGATATCATGCTTGGTAAAGGGGAGGGGCAGTGAGAAAGGGAACGCCCCTCAACAAGCTGGATTGACACAGTGGCTGCGACCACGGGCTCAAGTACAGCAACAAGGATTGCGAGGACGGCGCAGGATCGGGTCATGTTTCGCTCTGTCCACGCAGGGTCGTTATTAGTCAGAGCCGACTGAAGGGCACCTAACAACAAGAGCCTGGGATAGTGGGAGTGTTAGCCCAAGACAGGGAAGAGGTGTGAATTACCCCGGTAAGGAAACTGGTTACTGTGGGACATGAAAAGGGTTGGCCTGGAACTAAGAAGAAGTTAATTTCAGAAGCTGGGTGGTTAGGAGCTCAGCCTGAGACTAGAGAAAGGTTAACCTGGACAAATGGTAAAGGGACAAACACTAAAATGGTTAAGTCAGAGGGGCAGGTGTCCCCCTGTAACAGTCTCCCTTCACATTCCTGGGGAATAATTTCCCAGTGACACAGCAGCCACGCCCTCCCTCCGCCTCCGCGCGGCCGAGGCCTCACCCTCACCGGGTTCCTTCGCTGCCGCGGCGGTCGCCACGGTCTCCATCCCGATTCTCTACGTTGTGCCAACCGCCGAAGCAGGTTCCGCACGCCGACCCAAACGCCACGCCCTCAGCTGCTACTTCCGGCCGAACGTGTTCCCTTGGCCGGGTGCTCCGCTGAGCCCAGGCACCAGGGTTCCGGCCGAAGGTAGGCTTTTCCTATGCGCATGCGTGCCTTCCTTCGCTTTAGTTAACCAGGCAGGACAAAGGGCGCTGAGGTCCAAGATGTCCCTCTCAGCTTCTGGTATCGGAAGTGCTACAAAATCGAAACGTCAGAGGGGAATCTGGATCGTTGTTCATGTTGCTCAGTGCTGTGACTCCAGCGCCCAGCAGAGGCCTGAGGCAAAATAGCCCAGCGCACCTCATTTTGGGGGGCGGGGGGGAGATGGTTAAATGAGAACCCTCCAGGATCAGGGGCTGCCATACTCTGAAGGTCTTGGACACCAATATGTCCTCTTCATTTCTTCACCTCCTCAGGGAGTATTTACTCAGCCTCCACTCTTACCTCTGTCATCACACCAGTTCCTGGCTGGCAGATGAGTAGTGAGATCAGAAGAACTTCCTGCTTTCTGTTCCTAGGACATAGAGGAGGTCAAGCTTCAGAAATGGAGGAAGCTAACTGTACTCGTGATCTACTCTATAGGATGGATGGGTAGGAGTTCTCCCAGCCTGGGGAAGAGCAGTGTCAGGAAACACTTACTTCTTGAAGGAAACTTGGAGTTGAGAGTTGAAGGATGAATGGAAGTTGAGAAAAAGGGCAAAAGATAAGGGTCTCAGGCAGGTGGATGGGCAAGGCAAGGATCTAGAGGAGATGGTTGGCATGGACCATCTAGAAGCTACACGGACTTCACTAGGGACAAGGAGTAGAAAAGGGGTTCTAACTTGAAGGCTATGATTGGGATGGAGAGGATCTAAAATCTTCGCGTCTATTTTCCAAGGTCGAGGTTTATAGCTTTTGTGGATTCCTAAAGGGATACGTGATACCTGCCCCCCACGCCCCAGAATGAAAGAACCACTGATTTGAACTTCAAGCTGGGAGCAACAAGAAGTGTAGCCAGTGAGGTCACCAGGGGCTGCAGCGTGTTGGATTCATAAACCACACTAAGAAGTTTGCTTGCTTTTATCCTGAGGGGCAGTGGATGAGGAGGAGCTATGGGTCCAGTTAAGGAAGACCTGTGAAGAGGCGGATGCAATAACCCATCTGTAGCTGACAGCAGAGGAAGCGTTTCTCATTTGCTGTCCTGTGATGTGGGGAGCTGGAGGGTGGCAACTGAGGTCTTCATTTGCCACAGGCGTGTTACCAGGAGAGGCCAGAAGAGAGCGCTGTTGGCTCACTCAGATAAGCAGGGAAGGGACTTTCCCAGACTAGGGGCTCCCGGATTGAGCGCCTGGGAAGGCTCTCCGTAAGTAGGAGAGCAGGCGAAAGTTCCTCAGCAACGCTAGTCTTGACCTTCTGATGTTCAGATGCCCTGCCTCCTACCCTCCAGACTAATTGGCTTCCCCCCATTTTTAGCCCGTGACCCTTTGTAGGGCTCAGACCTTTGACAGGCACCATCCCATCACAGGCCCTGGAAGGCAGCACAGGCTCAGTTAATAAATGAATGAGGGGCTGACAAATGGCGACGGTGGCCTGTGAGGCTGCAGTCAGAGGCCATCTTTTACCCTGGGTCACTTGTTTCATGACCAACTCCTATGAAAGTGCTTCTTTCACTACCCACCTCCAGATTCCCCAGCCTCTGACCACTTGGTGCTGTCACTGTTTGGTGCCAGGTCCACTTTGCCTCTGGACTAGGGGCCCCATGAGGGCAAACTCTAGGACTGCTTTGGTCCTACTATGTCCCCAGCACTACCCAGAATGGATGAAGTAGAGCAGATGCCCAACACATATTGGCTTAATAAATGAAGGCCCACTGGTCTGGCCCACAGGAGGGCAGCCAGGAGGTATCCTGTGTCCAGCACACAGAAGAGGACTGGGGTGGATGGCCCTGAACATACCAGTCCTCGTCTCCACCCATCCACCCCACCTCTCCTGTGGCCCAGGGACCCACTTCACACCTTTTATTAAAAAATGGCCCCACAGATTTGAAGTGTGAATCAACTTTGAGGGGCAAGGGACCAGAGAACCACTTTAAAAAGCAACTAATGGACTTTCAACGGAAGCCCCAGGAGACTAAAGGGGGCATCACATTGCAGCACCAAAAATGCAGCCAGAGACACAAAGCCTTCCATCATTCCATGTTGGTCTAATGCATAAATAATTCCTCCCCATGAAGAAATCCCCATCTGGCTGGGCCTGTTTTTGGGTGGCTGGACAGCTGAGGTAGTCATTCCATGGTGGGATCTACTGGAGCACCTGAGTAGCTGCCTTAGGGATGTGGTCTGCTTTCAGTAGATAAGAAGCGTTGAGAAAGGTCTGCAGCTTTTTGGCACACCTGGATGCTGCATTTAGCCAGCAGCCTGCCATGCCCTGCTATCTTGGGCCTTTCTCTGGACTTGAATCAGTGGCCTGCTGTGTCGTTTGGCAATATTGTGAGTGGGCCTTCTCCTCGACCTTGGGTTTGTCAGCCTCAGCTGCCAGCAGCTACCCCCGAATGTAAAAAGCCTCCAGCTTCAGACTGGGAGCAAGAGGCAGAGCTGAAGCCCAAGGTCGAGGGGCTTTCACCCAGCCCCTAAAGCCTGGTACCTTGAATTGACTTTTAGTCTCCAAAACTGTAAGGGAATACATTCCCATTTGTTAAAGCCATCCATTTCTGGTACTTTCTGTTAGAGCAGCACCAGAGGGAACCGAAACAGAATATGGTACTGAGAGTGGGGTGCTGCTCTGACAGATACCTAAAACGTGCCAACAGGAGTGGAGTGAGTCCCCGACCCGAGACCTCGGCAGAGATAGCAGCAGCAGAGCCAACAAACTGCCATTAGGCAGCAACAGGCTTATCAGCCCATGGAGGAGAAAGCCGGATGCCTCTGGGTGGGCAGTTTTCTGGCTTAGTGGGTTTCCTCCGGGCATTAATTGGTAGAAAAGATCAGCATGAGATGGAGTAGCAGGTTGGCCTGCCCACAGATAAAGTGCTCTTGGGGCAGAAGATTTCTGGTAGTGGGTTGCCTTTGGCATTAATCAGATTAAGTTGAGAGACCAATTAAACTGGAAGTGGAGCTGCCTCAGCCTCAAGGGTAGGACCTTGACCTCTGGGGGTAGAACTACCACAGCCTTCTAAGTTTTAGATGGACCTTCATCAACTTGATTCTGGAGTGTGGAGCTGCTTGTTCCTGTGGGCCAGTGGGATGGGCCTACAGCTGTTGCCCAAGAGTGAGGGGGCAGGCCTGCAAGACCAAAGGGGTGAGGTCCCCATTAAGATGAACTAGGGGACTGGAGCCACCCAGAGATCTGTACAGGTACCAAGTTGACAAGGGGTGGAATTGTGCTAGTTCTGTGTCAACCTGGCTGGCCCTGCCTGGTTGAGTGGCTGGGCAGCTGGAGGTAGTTATTCCCCATGATGAAACTGGTCATCAACTCCACAGTGGACTCTACTGCAGCAGTAGCTGCCTTAGGGATGCGGTCTGCTTCCTGTATATAAGAAATATTGAGAAAGGTCTGCAGCTTTTTGGCACACCTGGACCCTGCCTGTGGCCAAGTCTTCATTCGGCAGCCTGCCATGCCCTGCTGATCTTGAGACTTTTTCTGGACTTGAATTAGTGGCCTGCTGTGGAGTTTGGTAACATCTTCTTGTTGACCTTGGGTTTGTCGGGCGCAGTAGCTGCCTGAGTGAAGAGATGCCTCTAGTTTCAGTGGATCAGGAGCAAGAGGCGAGCTGAAGCCCAAGGTTGAGGGGCTTTTACCCAACCCCTAGAGCCCAGCACTTAGAACTTGGACTTCTATCCTCCCAAACTGTAAGAGAATAAACTCCTGTTTGTTAAACCCACCCATTTGTGGTATTTTCTGTTCAAGAAGCACTAGAGGTAACCAAACCACCACCCCAATTAAAGGCCAAGTGCAGTAACACTTCAGGGTTTTATCCCTGTTTCCTTCCTGCTACGAAATGCTATGTCATTTATTAAAAGAAAACAAAACAGGGCAAACATGTTTCTTAGTAAGTGCAGTTTGTTAAAATCCTATGAAAACATATGGGATAAGGGAAAGTAAAAATCACTGAAGAGGATCACTGTAGGAAATGCTTGGGCCTGGAGACCTCTGAGAGGCAGCAGAGCTTCCTGTCTGAAAGGAAACAGCCCCACCCCCATCCCCTCTCACCCATGTCATCCCCCCAGAAACTACCAGGACGCCCGGAATAAAAGGTTTCAAGTTCAATAGTCACACTCTCTCCAAATACAAAAAGCAGTTACAATTCAACTCAACACAGAAGCTTGTGTGCAAAGTTACGGGGAACTGGGACATCGTATAAAAAGTTAGGTTAAAGGTGATTTTTGTGGTTGTGTGTGTGTTTTTGAGGGTGTGGCTCTTCCTTGGTCATCTAACTCAGCAAAGAGATAGTTGTCTTGATGAAAAATCTTATCAGTAGACGACCCACAGTAAAAACTGACAAATTCTGTTTAAAAGCATAATTACAAAAACAAAACAAAAACAAAAACCCGCCCCAAAAACCATCTGTCGCTGCTTCCTCCCTCTACATTTTGCTTTTTTAAACTCGTGGGTTTTCTAATGTTTTGATTTTGTTTTTAATCCTGAAAAGTAGACAGTAAAACAGCTCCTGGAAGAATTTACAACAAACTGCATGGGGGTCCGGGAAGCTGAGGGGCTGGAGGGCTAGGACGAGTGGCTGGGAGGGGTCCTCCCCTCAGACACTGGAGCCTCACTGTACGACCAAGGGAGGGGGAAGGATTCTTCAGTCAAAAAGGAAGAAGAGGGGGAGGAGGTGGGGCAAACAGAAAATAAAAGGTCACTGGTGCCTGTTTGAATCCAGAAAGTAATGCCTGGCCCTGTGTTGGGGAAAGAAGCCCCTCGGCGGGGAGACAGTGGGCTAGAGGGAGGCTGGGCAGGGAGGCAGCC